GCAACTACTATGTTCTGGGTTCTAATTCAGGGGTGGGCAAACTATAGCCCCAGAATTTGGCCCACAGCCTGCTTTTGTACGGACTGAGAGTTAAGAATAGTTTTTACACGTTTAAAGGATTGCAAAGACAAACATACAAAGAAACAAAGAAGACTGTGCAACAGAGATCATCTGCGGTCTGTAAAGACTAACACATTTCTATCTGGCCCTTGACAGAAAGAGTCTGTGGGCTGCTGGTCTCCTCTAACGGTGGTAGAGATGCCTACACGGTTAACATTAATCCTTGGCACCAGAATCCTCAGCACCTAGGAACCAGATCTTGCCTAATACACTAATTTCAGTCTCGATCACCTTCCTCCGGCGTAGCGGTTCTCAAACGTCTTTGTCTTTGTGCTATTCGCGTATAAAATATTCTTTCATAAGCAACACTTCTCCTTTTAGGAGTACCTCATAATGGGGAGAAGGGGAACCCCAACACCCTTTAAGGGTTCACTGCTTCGCTGCCACCATTTCCGACGGTTTACACTGTTTTAAATGTGGATCTGGAATTGTTTTCAAGTTAAAAAGCAAAGGAATCATGTCCTCTGAAAATATTTGCTTTTGGCATGCTATAAATCAGTGTTGACTTTTGATACTGATGTGGTACATTAGGAGGGAATTCTCAAAAATGCTGAAATCTGGCCCCGGCCCAGTTATCACTGCTCTTAAGTTGCTGAGGGAGATACATGAATGAGCCCACGGCAAATGGAAAATGAGGAGTTTCAGTGTTTCCTAGAATTATGCTCAGCTACCCAGTACCTGACTGTCTGGTTATCCTTCCCTTCACCTCCCTGATGCAAGGAGTTTGGACCAGAGGCCTAAGGGGGCTTCTCCTGAAGCCCAAATCCCAAACTGGTCACCAGTCATGCTCCGTAACTCCTAAACCTGACAATAAGCCAGCCGGCCAGGTCTGCAGCCCGGGTTAAGAGGAGCATACCAGGAAACAGCCAAAGAGCAAAGGACCATGAGCCCTTCAACCGCTTTTACAATAATTTGGGCTAGGCGTTCAGGGCTCCGTAGGACCCTTCCTGGCAGCCAAGTGAGAGTGAGAGAAAGAGGAATGACGGTGCTTCCCGTTACTTCCACACTGTTGAAATAGAAGTAGAAGCAGAAAAGAACACCCTACAAGTCCCACCCATTTTGAGGCACTCAACTCACAGTGACAACCCTCCACACCTCTCCCCCGCAAAAAGACGCATAACAAAAACACCTACTCCAAACTGTGTCCTTATATCTCAGCCCTGAAGATCAGTATTGTGTGCCACTTCGGCCCAAAGGATGCATTTCCCCAGGGTTGAAAGTCTGAGAAAGAGGCTATATTCCGAAGGGTTCTTGTTGTCACCATCAAAAGGATCAAAAAGACGCAATAAATAAGAAAACAGCTTAGTTGGGTTGCATGCTCCATTTGAGCCAGTAAGCCTTGGAAACTTAAGTGTTTTCAAATGGAACGCCATCCTGCTTTTGGGGAACACGGAGGCTGCCTTGCAGTCACATGATCGCACACCACCAAAGGGCCACGCACTCTGATTTCACCCACTTAACTAAAAGTTGCAGCAAAATCCCTATTACAGGCCAGGCGTGGTGGCTCATGCCTGTAATCCCAGCACTTTGGGACCCCGAGGAGGGTGGCTCATTTGAGGTCAGGAGTTGGAGACCAGCTTGGCCAACATGGTGAGACCCCGTCTCTATTAAAAATACAAAAATTAGCCTAGCATGGTGGTGCGCGCCTGTAATCCCAGGTACTCTGGAGGCCGAGGTAGGAGAATGGCTTGAACCCAGGAGGCGGAGGTTGCAGTGAGCCGAGATCACGCCACTGTGCTCCAGCCTGGGTGACAGAGTGAGACTCCATCTCGGGGATGGGGGGCGGGGGGAATCCCTATTACAAATAAAAGCTGTTGTGATCCACACTGCATATACCTCTGGGAAAAGAACCGGAACCGTGAATTCCAATGCAAATTGATGCATCGGCACCGGACCCACTGCATTGGACACGTTTGCATTGCAGTCACCCCAGTACGGAGCACATCACAGATGATCTCTGCAGGTTCGTTGCCCACATAGGAGGCAGGCATAGTGCAAATTTCAAAGGAACGAACACATCCTGGAGCCCAAAGAGCTATCTGGTTCTGCTTCTGGCCTCCTGACAAGTAGGGAAGAGAGTCACATTTTATAGACGAGGGACACCAAAACCACACATGAGGAGTGCAAGAGTAGCTTTATCATGGATTTAGGGCTGTGGTTACAAGGAAGCTGTAAGGAGTAAAATGACTCCCCTGCCACGAAGACGTACTGTGCGGACGAGTGGAAGGAGAAATGTGGCCATTACAAAGACACAGAAATACGTTCAGAAATGAGGGGCAGGATGAAATCATCTAGGGTAGGTATTTAGAGGGAGAGTGCCGTGCAAAATAAAATCCTCACTATGAAACAAAGGCGGAGGCAGGAGGCTGCGTTGGGTGGAAGAAGCAGAGGAAGGAGACGAAAGGGACTGTCATTTTCATGTCGTGGCTTTTTAGAAGACGGCGGTGTCCTCTACTCTGATTCTATCAAAGTGTGTTCTTGGGATGCAGGTAACGTTCAGCCAACGAAATAATTCCTATGGCGGCAACAGGAATAACAAAACGCAGAAGCGGGAACGATGTCTTTTTTATTCCTCCCCAGATGCAAACGTGGATGTGTGAGGTTTGGTAACAGGCAAAGTCATCTGGTTCACGTGACTGATGGGAATCCCCTGCGGTCTGGGCAAAAAGTCACTGGGTGAATGGGATGGATCAGACTCCCTGTCCTGAGGGGGAGACGGTTTCTTGCAGAACGAGGTGAAGGAGGTGGTTCTGCTCAGCAGTCAACAGTGGCCACATCTCCACCTGCAGCGACTTGATGGCTTCCGTGTCCTTTTCGTGGGCAGCCATGACCAAAGACTGGAGCAGCAGAAAGAGCTCCTCGGGAAGCTGGCCGCTGCTCTCCTGCCCGTGGCTGTCAAAAGCCTCCCAGGAGTACTTCTCCAGGGTCTGGGCGTGCTCCGGCAGCAGCTTGGCCGGCGGTGGTTGTAGGAGGAGCAGCAGCAGCACGCGGGACACCTCGCAGCGGACCAGCACGTCCGAGAAGGCGCCCAGGGCGGCGGGAGAGGGCGCCGCCGAGCCGGAGTTTGGAGGAAGCAGCGCGGCCGGTAGGGCGGGGGTCGCCCCGGGCCCGGGCCCGGGCTGGGGCCCCGGCGGCGGGGGCGGCGGCAGTGACTGCACCGGGTGGCTGCCGTGCTCCCGCGCCAGGCGCTGCATGCGCGTGAAGACCGCCAGGGCGCCGGTGTAGTCGCGCGCCAGCAGCTGGCAGGAGGCGGCCTCGCCCAGCGCCTGCAGCGCGGCCAGGGGCAGCTGGGGCAGCTGGAGCTGGGCGGCGCGCTGGAAGTGACCGGCGGCGGCGGCCGGCTGGCCCAGGTCGCGCAGGGCGGCGGCCAGCTCGAGGCAGAGGGCGGCGGCGGCGGCCGGCTGGCCCAGCTCGAGGTGCAGACGCACCGCGGCGCCCAGGGCGCTGGCGGCGGCCTGCAGCGGCTCCCCGTAGGCGGCGGGGCAGACCAGGCGCTGGCGCGCGTCGCGCTCCTGCCGCAGGAAGAGGCGGGCGGCCTCGGTGAGGGCCAGCGCCTCCCCGGGCCCGTGGAAGAGCGCCTGCTGGCAGCGCGCCACCGCCAGCTGGCACCAGGCCGCGTACGGCAGACACTCCTGGGCGCGCAGCTCCCGGCCCAGCTGTCCGAACTGCTCGCCGGCCTCCGCCACGTTCGGCTTCCGCAGGAACCGCTTCTTCAACTTGTTCGATACCAGCCGGTAGCGGGCCAGGAAGTCCCCGGCCTCGGGTCCCGAGCCGGCGCCGCCGCCCAGGCCGGCCGCCGCCGCCGCCATGCTCGCCGCCCCAGGCACTTCCGGACGCGCTGCCGCAGCTGGCGGACGGGCGGGACGGGGCGGGGCGAGGCGGGGCGACGTGCCCTGCGTCCCCCTTGGCGGGCTGCCGGCGTGCCGGCGCCCGCTCCCCAGCCCGAGCGTGCCCCTTGCCCTGGTGATGTGCAAAGAGCGGGATCGGAGGCGGGGCCTGGCCGGGCTGTGAGCGGCGCATGCAAATCCAGGGTCTCGGGGATGCGGAGCCAAGACCCTGGGAAGGTACGCGGGGCCTGGCCGGGCGCCAGCTGCTGCTAGCTCGGCTGCAATGCAGATGGTCTCGCTTGCTGAAGGCCTCCCACAGCCTCTCCATCTGAACATGACCCAAACTAAACTCGTGACCCTAATTCCGTGTCCGTGCATTTCTCGACTGTTTTCCCCCCACCGCTCACTCCTCCATCTTCCTGTCCAGGGCCCTTGCCAAGCGCCGGGTCCACCTCTCCGTCCCCAGCCCGGTTGCCTTTAGGAGTCCATCCTGTCGCAACGCTGCAGTCATGGTCTTGAGGCCCACCCGCCCCAACGAACGCCATCATGCTGAGGACTTTCCCGGGCAGGCCCTGACTTGCTCAGAACCAGCGGGGGTGTCCCCTTCCCACCCAGGGCCAGTCCCCTGCACTGTCACCGGGAGGGACCGCTCCTCTGTGCCATCCCTGACTCCCACCCAACCCCAGACCCCCCCCACCCCTCCATCCCTCCAGCTGTGGAGGTCTCACAACCCCCCACCCCACTCCCCGCCCACGCCCCCAACACACCCCATGTCACCGCCCAGCCCCCCACCCCATGTCACCACCCACCCACCCCCACCCATCTCACCGCCCACGCCCCCCCCCACCCCAAGGCAAAGTGACTGAAGCAGGCAGGTGGGTTCCTTTAAACATTTTATTGACAGAATTAATGAAGACCCAAGACTTTGGGGCCCGGGTGGTGGGGGTTGATTTAAGGCCGGGGGTTCGGGCCGGGGGATTTGAGGCCGGGGAGTTTGGGGCTGGGTGGGTGGACGAGTGGACCTGCCAGGTCCCAGGGGCCGGGCGTCAGAAGCTAGTCCCCGCCGGGGGCCACTTGAGAGATGGTGGTTGTGTCAAAAAGGGTGCTCAGCAGCCTGTTGTTGTGAACCGCCATGTCCAGCAGCAGTGGAGTGATGTTCCTCTCTCCGTTGTTCTGGGCCTCGTTGCCCGCCAGCTCCAGGACCTTGGCCGTCAGGTACTCGATAACCGCAGCGAGGTAGACCGGCGCCGTGGGACTCAGGCGCTGAGCGTAGTGGCCCTCCCGTAGACCGCGCTCCACCTGGCTCACCGAAAACGAAAGCTCCGCTCGGACGGTGCGAGAGCGGGTCCGCCCCCGGCCACCAGCCCTGGAGGACCGGCGATGGCTCCTCCTCTCCGACATGCTGGGCGTTGAGTGTGCTATCTCGGCTTGCCCTAGCTAGACAAGATGGCTCTCAAGATGACAGTTACCGCGTCCAGTACTGTGTATCCTAGCGACCAGGGCCCAGCCCCTCATTGGCTGGGGAGCCGAAACCAATGGGCACGCACGTCCGGTGAGGGGCACGCACGTCCGGTGAGGGGCACGCACGTCCGGTGAGGGGCACGCACGTCCGGTGAGGGGCACGCACGTCCGGTGAGGGGCACGCACGCGGTGAGGGGCACGCACGCGGTGACGGCCTCACAAGGGACACGTCCATCAGGTGACCTCAGCGCTTTCCCATTGGCCTCGAGGGAGCAGGCCTGGGCCTAGAAGTGACTGGAGGGCCATGGTGGGGGGAGGGGAATCCCGCTCGTGACCCTCTCTCTGCCAGTGGGGACTCTCCCTTTCTACTGGATGGGAACATTGTGGGAAAGACAGAGGGGTGGGCGAGGGGAGAGTGGGTACCACGCCTTCACAATGTTACACATCCGTCACAACCACCTAGTTCCAAAACATTTTCAACACCCTCAAAAGAAACTGAAACCCCTGCACCTATAAGCAGTCACTTGCCACACGCCTCCTTCCACACCGCCACTACCAACCCCCACACCCCGCCACACACAGCCCTCTCCCCCCGCCCATACGTACGTTCCCGATAGTCCCTGGCAACCACTTGTCAATCTGCTTTCTGTCGGTAGAGGTTAGCCTGTTTTGGAGATTTCCTATAGATGGAATCGTACGACCAAATGTGAGGCCTTGTGTGTCTGGCTGCTTTCACTTAGCATAATGGTTTCATCAGGGTTCATCCATGTTATTCACTGCTAGAGTATGGAAATACCACTGATTGTTGCAGATTGATCTTGGGTACTGCAGCTTTGCTGAGCATACTCAGATAGGGTTGGCGTATTAGTCCGTTTCTACACTGCTATAAAGAACTGCCTGAGAATGAGTAATTCATAAAGAAAAGAGGTTGAATTGCCTCATGGTTCTGCAGGCTGTACAGGCTCTGCTTCTGGGCAGGCCTCAGGAAACGTGCAATCATGGCGGAAGGCGAAGGGGAAGCAAGCACCTTCTTCACATATTGGAGCAGGAGAAAGAGAGAGAACGTGCGCGAAGGGGGAAGGGCTGCACATTTTCAAACGATCAGATCTTGTGAGAACTCTATCACAAGAATGGCAAGGGGGAAGTCCGCCCCCGTGATTCTGTCACCTCCCACCAGGCCCCTCCTTCAACAGGTGGGGATTACAATTCGACATGAGATTTGGGTGGGGACGCAGAGCCAAACCATCTCGGGTTTTTCTTTTTTTTCCTTTTGATGGACTCTTTAGTGTCCTCTATATAAGAACATGCCATCTATGCACGTATGAATAGAAATGGTTTTACTTGTTCCTTTGCAATCTGGATGCCTTTTATTTCTTTTTCTCGACTAATTGCCCAGACTAGAACTTTGAGTACGATGTTGAATTAGAAGTGGCAAGAGAAGACATCCTTTTCTCATTCCTGATCTTAGGGGGAAGTCAACCAGTCTTTCACCATTAAGTATGATATTATCTCTGGGTTTTTCATGGATGCCCTCTACCAGGTTGAAGAAGTTTCTTTCTATTCCTGGTTTGTTGAATGTACTTTCATGAAAGGGTATTGCGTTTTGTCAGATGATCCTTTTTGTACATGATTAAGATGACCATGAGTCTCCCCCGCCCCCGCGCCCCCCGCCGCTCCACCATGCATTCTGTTAATACGGTGTATTATATAAGTTGATTTTCACATGTTGAACCAACCATTAATATGGTGTATTATATAAACCGATTTTCACATGTTGAACCAACCTTACATTTGTGGGATAAATCCTGTTTGGTCATAGTGTATAAAGAGTGGTCGATAAACATTTCGTTGAAAGAATAGGAGTGGATCTGGCAAGCTTCTTGGAGGACAGTGCGTGTGTTAAAGAATCTGTAGCATGATGAGAAGCCAAGGCACTGGTGGGAGGAGGGGAGTTGCAACCAATTCATTAAGGCTGGAGAGTAGGATGCCAGTGGAGTAGTAGTGGTTGATGTGGCTGGGAAAGAGGTAGGCAGGAGCCAAGACATGGAGGCTCTATTATACCATGCTCAGGGTTTAGAATACCCTGTAGGCTACACTGAACCCACTGTGGTCTTTCAGCTTGGGAGTGACATGGTCTGATTTGCCTCTAGAAGGATCACTCTGGAAGCTGCATGGAGAATTGAACAGAGAGGATTGTGTGTGGAGAATAGAACAGAGAGGACTGAGATTGGAATTAGAAAGCTGCTGTATTATACCAGTCAAGAAATGACAGATATCTCAACTAAGACAATGGCATTGGTAGATAAGATTAGGGGACAGAGTCCATGCAAAGTTTAGGTAGTAAAATGGCACACAGTAGGCACTCACTACATATTACTCATACTGGCGAACCTAGCTGGAGACATGATAATTCATTGTCTCATTCTTCAAAAAATATTGAAGGGTAGCGCCAGGCATACTGTGTTAAGCATTGAGACAACACCAATGAGAAATACTCTGTTGTTTAAATAGGCCAGATTTTGTTTATCTACTCATCAGTTGATGAACAGTTCATTAAGTGATTTCCATGGCAGAGGAGGTAAATGTTGCCCTCTATCTTCTTAGATTCTCCAGCTAGGACTTAAATAAGACAGATTAACAAAAGAAAAGCATACAAAATTTTTTTACATGTACATGGGAGCCCTCGTAAGAAATACGAAGACTCAAATGAGCAATTACAGCTGAATACTTACATACTAGGGTGGAAAAAGTGTGTTAAATTGTGAAAACATAACAAGACAATGGGGTTTGGGCTAGGAGAGTTAATTGTGGAAAAGTCACTAAGAAGGTAAGAGTTGTTTAACAAGGTTTTTTTGGAGCAGCTTTCCCTCAAACCTGGACTCCCCATCTGGGGCAATAAGAATGTGTTTCTTCTTCCTGGTATACAGATAATACCTTTCACATCAGAGTTTCATCTCTTCCTTTCATGAAAAAAAAAGGAAGGTCAGCATGCTCTTCTTGCATCTGCTATTTTCAAGTGCCTTTAAACTCAAAATAATCAATATGCCAAAGTGGCATATTTTGAGGTGGCATTTGATCCCCTACATTACTGATTGGATAGTGTGAATAGTGTTGCCATGAACGCTCCTGTACAAGTGTTTGAACAGCTGTTTTAAATTACAGATGCTCCTCAACTTGGAATGGTATTACATCCTGATAAACCCATTGTTAGTTAAAACCATTATTAGTGTAAATTCATTTAATACAGCTATATTAGTCCATTCTTATCCCGGCCCGCGGGATAGTCAGAGCAGGCCCTGGAGGAGGGGGTGGGAATTTGGGGAACAAGAGACATGAGAAATGGAGACAAGACAGTGCTCTGATCAAGTCTCGTTTAATGGCGGTAATGCACTGCCTTATATACACTTGGAAGGGAAGGGGTTGGGCTAAGGCGGAAATGATCTCATTGCCGAGGGCGTGGCCAGGTTAGTTTCGGTTTCTCCGGTCGGACGTCATGTTGCGCTTGCGCTTGCGCTATTAAGTAACAATTTTCCCGGGCGCGGGAAAAGTGAGTGAAGAAGAAGCAGGAAGAGCGCCATCTTTAATGAGGTATTAGTACAGGGGAAAAAAGGCAAAGATAGGGAGAAGGTGTGGGGTGGAAATGAATATAGCTCAGGCGTTTTAATCCTTAATTATTATTCACTATGGCCGGGGCGTGCAGCTCCGGACAGGTCCCCCTTTTTATATTTTTATGACAAGAAAACCCCTCGGGAACTGCGCCTGTCTTAGGTTGGGTCAACTCACCCCCACCTTCTAGGCCCGTCATGGGATAAGGCAGCAGCAAGGGCGGCCCTCCTGTCTTAGGCTCCGATGGAGATAGTGTCCTCTTACCCGTCATTGACTGTCCAGTTCAGCACACAGGGGAGGTGGTCTTATTAAGGTAAATAAGACTCACCATTTTCAGTCATCTCAAGGCGATGATAATGGACCTGTATAGGTTTGGCCTGGAAGGCCTCAATTTGTTGTCTGACAAATGCCATAAGCTTATTAAGGATTATAGGCCCAAGAGTGAGGAAAAGTAGAAGGGTGAGTAAAGGACCAAGAAATGGCAGGAGATAGGGGAGAAGTCCATCGAGTCCAGTCCATAGTGGATTGGCAGCCAAGCCTTTTCTGCGCTTTTCTAGTTCTTCTTGCAAAGTTTTTATCTTATCTCTGATGATTCCGGATTTGTTGGCGTAAAAACAGCACTTTTCCTGTAAAGCCAAACATATCCCTCCATTTCCATAACTGGTTTGGCATTAGGTAAGCTGTCTTGCCCGTGCAGGTCACCTGGGTGATTCTATCTGACGGAGGTTCAGATATTTGTCCCCCTCTGCAGTCACAAGGCTGGCCGTATTGTTTTCGTAATAATTCTCTTGCCTTACGAGGGTCACCAAAACCTGCATAGACTGTCACTATGTTATATAGAGCGATTATTCTCCAAAGGAATTTCATGTTAGGCTTCATTTTCTGAAAAACAAGAAGGAAAGAACTTCTCAGGGAGATTTATCTTCCCTGGACTGACAATGGTTATGATTTATTTGTCTTACCAATCTTTCAGGCAGCCATCTGGCTGCATCATTTTTTTGTGAGAAGATGCATACTGAGCCTCTTCCCCAAATTAAAACTGGATCGGGGCCATGCCATGAACTATCGAGTGGATCTTTCCATTTTACCATTGCAAACTGTTTTTGAGATTCAGGATGCCAGAAACGGTCGGCAGCCGATTTTCCATGACTGTCCAAATCTAAAAAATTAAGGATAAACAGGGCATGATTGAGTATGTTTCTGGGGGTACCCTTCACGGGGTACCAGCTCCCCCCTTTTAATTTTGTGATAATAGTTTTTAATGACAGATGAGCTCTTTCTACTATACCTTGTCCTTGGGGATTATAGGGAATGCCTGTGGTATGTTTAATTTG